TCAGCCTCTTGACTGGTTGATTACATTACAGGGAAAAATTACCTACCAAACACACTGCAGATGGTGGAGATTGGTGCTTCTGCTTTGTAGTTAGGAATTACAAGTCTAATCATCAAACATTTATTACTTTAAACAGAGCGTTATTGATTCTTGAATAGCAGTCGTCATCTAACAAAGTTGCTGAAGTGCAGCTAAAGCCTTTGGTAAATATAATGTGAGCTTCCTCTGCATGGAAATCACTCCCACAGAACATTGTCTTGAAAATAGCTCATGTATCACAGATCTCTGCTGAGTGAATAGTTTTTTTTTGTATTGCTGCTGTTTTACTAGAACAGATTCTCTAAAATTACCTCACTGCATGTCACAAGACTTCATGACATAAAATACTAAACCATAAATTCACAAAACTTTGTTAGGCTTTAGACAACAGTAATTTTGAAATCATGGATCACATAATGAACAGATATAAAAGCTGAACCTTTATTAAAGCTATCATCTCATCAGCAGTAAGAGGCAAGAAAGTCGGTTTTCTATCTTCAGATTGCAAAATAAGTTTGTACCTTCACAGCCTGTGATGTGAAGTCACAGTTACTTTATAGATGTGTTGGGATGACTTTGCCCTCATGTTGTTCTCTGTGAGGTCACTTTTTACTCTGGTATGCAGAAGGCCAATATTTCTGTCTTTCTGTCAAACCGGCTCCCTTAAATTCCTTTTCGAAAGACCTCATTCCATCTGCCTGTTTTATTGGATGTCATGCGTTTACAACATCAAAGAAAAGGACATTATCACAAAGTATAGCGACAAACAACAGAGAAGTATTGGATGATCTCTATCTTTGAACACTGTGGTGTTATTCTAATGTCCTTGGCTGTATTTAGTATCTACGTTCTGGGCCTGAAGCCCAAATGGTACTGCTGTGATGTAATCATGCCCAGTGACTTGTTAAACAAACATACAGCTCTCAGTGTTTCTCCTCCAAAGACTGATTTGACTTTGCTGAGACCAAACTGTGCAAGTGTCTGCCACTTTGCTTATTAGCCATGCAAATGGCCCTGTACTTTCCAGCCGTTCTAAGTGGGGGAAAAGGCAGTGACAACCTTTACTTTAATCTAGCGCATGATAGATATTAACCCATCCTTGAGTCTGGATCGCACCCACACAAACTACACTGCATGCCAGGAATGCAGTCTTAAAGGCCCATATATGGTGAAAACTATACTGAAGTACAAGTAGCTCTTTAAGTGTCCAAACCATGAGACAGAACCAAACTTTTGTCAGTATGAAACGGCATATATTATTGATATGTTTGCAAACAAAACTACAGCTACAGTAATACATTGGGGTAGCTAAAACGTGGGAGAAAAACAAAAGAGCACAGATCATGGCTCCACCCAGGGATGAGTGATTACTTCCTCCCCCAAACTCAGTGCTGATGTCTTCGCAGCAGCCGCAGATCAGGCTTCCTTTGCCTCTGACTGCTCTGCCTGGAGTATTGAGCAACAGGGAAAGGGCCTGGCGGTTTGACCACTTAGAGAAACAAATAGCAGTGATCTCACAGAGACTTTTCACAAGTGATTTACTGAGTGCTTATGTCATCCGGACTCCCTTGCAAACATTTTTTTTTTTTAAGTTGGGAGGCAGGATATTCAAGAGTTGCAGGCTGTTGTTAAGGATTTCTCAAGACTACACCCTTTATCCCTAGGAGTGCATGTCATTTCAGTCCACTCTGGGATTTCCACACTTTACCTTACCTCTAATTTTGTCAATGATTGTGAATTTGAGACTGAGGCTGCGGTCGAAAAGTCCAAATAAACTCCTTTCCCAACCACTTTTCCTTGACCTCGATGGAAAACGTCATGAGGTCAAGGAAAGATGTGAAGGAGGACTCATCATAAGAACTTAGGAAAAGACTAACACAGTGCTAAGAGAATTCGACTGCACTGAACCTTGGCTCCGTAATTATGCAACAGCACATGTTGACGAGGGTCTGCTGTGGTGAAACTGCAATGTTCAGAAAAAGGACTACTAAAAGCGCATCCTCACTGCATTGTTTTTTATGCACCAAATAGGTTTTTGTATTTTTTTCCTGTTTTCTTTTAAAAACCTGAAGATTTTGTGACTTGTCTGTTTTATTTTGCTGCCTTCTTGACGCACTTTGTAACGAGGATCTTGAAAATTGCACTCCTGAGAATGGTTGCTCGCGCTCACCCTCCTGTGCACTCGTATTTATCGACATGAATTCCAATTAATGTGACTTTGTGAAAATAAATGTTAATGGTATTTATGCATGAAAGGTGAAACGTGTTACGCCCACTACTGTACATATTATCATTCTTACCTTTCAAACATGTTGAATTAAAATCATCACGTGTCATAAAACAACCCGTATTAACAACGTATTAATGTTATGTTTAATACGCTAATTATGATTCCAGTTATAGAAGTAGCCTACAATCATGCGAAACAGCCTGTTTTTCACCGGGAGGCTTCATCAAAGAAAACAGTAAATAGAAAGTATTAAATACATATGAAACAGAGATGGTTGATAAACCCAGACAGCTCACTTTAGATTCATTTCCTGTATCTGTGTCATGTGGGTTTTGCTACTGCCCCACCTCTTTAAGAGACCAGAGGCGGCCCTGAGTCCATTCATTCCAATGGGAAAACTGAACATGAGTACAGACGATGACCTTTTCCTTCACCCCATAGTCACTGAAGTAAATACTGGAACCATTTTTCACATTTTCCTAGACATTCTGACACTGATTTTTTTTCAGACAGACAAATCAGAAGAAAATTACATTTGTTGGAGGTTTTCACCAAAGTCCATACATTAATGGAAACACACAGGATTCGTATTTCTTTTAATGCGCATTTCCCAATAATTCGAATCACTTTTGGATGGAAACATAGCTATAGTCTCACAAGACTGTAGTGACATCAGACATTATGCAAGCAGATATAAACAAGCGGCAAACTAAGGAACGAATATTAAATCTGTACTGTATGTTGCGTTGTTACAAATCTGATTTTGTTTATTCACACAAAGTATGAACTACACTTCTAAATGAGTTGGGGGTGCAGAGGAGAGACGACCATGCCCACTTAGGAGACAGGAAATGTATACCATTTCATACCACTGGCACAGCATGTAGTGTGGTATTTTAAGTTATAGAGGTTCTCTGGTAAAGGATGGTCCTGTGTATCCTATGCTAGGGGAGATTATAAAGGAAGCACTGAAGCACCTTTCCTTAATACCACTTAGCCACTTAGATATTTCTGGGTTATTTCACACAGTTAGGAACCTTCCTGAGCAAAAAGACTATTTGACTGCAGCCTGGTTCTCAAACACAGCAGAGAAACTGTTTTCCTCCTTATGTCAAAGTTTTGGGACAGCTTGATACCAGAGCAACACCACCTACATAAACAACTGAGGTGTAAATAAAGTAATTAGCGGTCAGCCTTTATGACTGCAATCAGTCCAACTTGGCTCACTGGCCATTTTCTGTAAAAACAGAAGCACTAATCAGCCTAAATTGTTACTTTCACACTTCCTCGGTTGGTGACAATCCCACCAATAAGCAAAGAATCACAGTACAGTGCCAGGCACACTATAAAAGCAACATTACTATGGAACAATAATTGGCTGTAGAGAGGTGACGTTAACCCAAAAGTTTTACAGCAGCCAAGCTTTCCACGCTGACAAACGTGGAAAAGCAAAAACGATGATCGGCAGCAGCCAAACTTTTTTTGTCTTTGGTCACGGAAAATTACTTTCAACCGCTGGTTTCTACAGCTGACGACAGAGTGTAAGCAGTGACATGCACTTAACACACTCAGTCATATAGTTCAGATTTACAGACAGAGTATACATGACGGCGGCCACGGTTTACCAAACACCGCACTTAATTGTAGGATGCTCTTGGAAGTAAGAGACACTGTTTACACAATTACTGCAAAAGTTGTGGGGTTTTTTTTGCACAGCAGGGGTTGTCTCTAAGAAGTGATTGATCCAGACTTCATACAGAATCCAAGTTAACGCCTCCACCACTACTTGCATCAGTACCACCACACCCCAAGAGCTTGTGATCTTATTCCCATACAATGTGCAGCATGCAGGAATATCTTCTAGACACCACAGCTCCAATGATGCAGACTCAGGGTTGCCCACTTTCTCTCTAAGCACACACCTCACTCTGCATTAACTATTCCGCTAACCCAAGCCAAAGGGCTATAAATGACATGAATGTTGACATAGTTTTCAGTTGTTATCTAATAGACAATGCCCTCCTGTTACTGCCATTTATTGTGCTGATAAAACCATTCAGGCTGACTAAGGATAACTATAATCAATCACTCACACTCACACAGTTTACAAAACCACCACACGCCACACTGATATCATGCTATGCAACAAGTCGCCCTGCAACTGAACTTTGTGTTTGCATCAAAATATACAGAGAAGCCCAACTGTCACAACAAGTATGCTCTTCAGTAAACTTTTAGGAGCTGTATTGACTGGGATAATCACATGATGCACTGAGTGCTTTGAAAAGTAAAGCACTCAGTGTAACACTATCTCTTTTGCTCAACTCCAACAGCTATTAGCCGCTCTGTATTGGGCTACATTAAATAGTAATAACAACACATCGATACCTATTTGAGCCTCATCCTGCACTAAAACAGGGGTGTGCTGTATTGACAACGTGCTGTTTATCAGCTGTACAGGAGTCATGTGTCCACTTGGCTTGATTTCACCACTATACTGACTGACTGATATCTATAAACTATTAGAAAGGCTACATTATGAGTGCACAACAAGGTAGTTTTTACATGAAATAAAAATGGACAGCAGGGGAAGTTTATGCTATGACTGAGTGGTGCAACTTTCTCAGTCTGGGTACAGTCGAGAGTGTGATTAACCCTTGCATGTGGGAATACAGGATGTGACAGTGCACTGCACACTACTTCCATGCAATGAGCCAGCGTGAATACATACCAGCTTTTTGTTTTTACCCTCGTCCTCGTTGGATTTCTTCTTGGAGGACTTATTCGGGTCTTCCCCACCGCTTGCTTGATCCATGTTGGCTTTTAAAGTTAGTTCCCCCTCTGGAAAGACTTCTCAAAAGTTGGCAAACTCCAGCAGCAGGCTCTTATCAACACTCGTACAGCCAAGCATCCAGGTTAGGTCTTTTCAAAATCCATTCCGTTTAAAAAGGTAATGAATAAAACAAAAAGTTGACCGCTTCCAAATAGTTCCCGAACAAGTATCCAAGAGTCGAGGAGGCTGCCTGGGGAATAAGAGGTGTGGTAGGATATGGTATTCGTCCTGGTGTGTCCTCAGCTAGGCAGTTAGGCAGCTCACACCGCCGGTAAGGGCTTTCTGAAATTACCAAAACAGTGTGTAAACAATAAATAATTAGTCTGTGCCAATGGCTTGGACACAGATGTTTGCCTTTACACGTGTTTCCCTGTGCAGCCTTGTTAATAATGCAGACACAGTGAAGCCAGTGAGCGGTTAAACAGATGTAAACAGACATGTAGGAGATATATAAAGGGAGCTCGATGAAATTAAAAGCCAGGGTGTTTTAACTGACAGTTACACCCCTGTGTTTGGAAACAGGGCTGAATTGTTAGAGGAGGCAAACTTACAGCCGTGTAACTTAGCAATAACATAATAGTAAGCGACTGAAATAGGTTTCAAGGCAGCTAGGATGCTCTAACAGCTTTCACTGAGCAGTCACACGGCGGTTTTATTGCTGACAGCACAGCCATTAATCAGAATTAATGAACAATTGTTGTAGTGGAGGAAAATCACCGTTGTTCTCTCTGCTTGGGAATACTTTGCAGTGCTGGACACTTAGCCAGGCTAGCATAAATGGACGACCGTAACTGCGGAACAGTATTTAATTCAACAGACACAATAACGCCCAAACACATTCAACATTATGCTAATATTTACACCGTGAACAATAAATAACATGTCAAAGAAAACTCACAAAATCCCATCCAGAGCTTACCTTTGCAACCAAACCTGAATGCCAGGCCCACGGTGATCCCGCCCACCCGCGTTCTGATTGGCCAGCGAGCTGCGTAAGGAGTGGGGATTCCGGCTGCTATTGGTCGGATCTGGTGTCAGTCACGAGGTCGGCGTGGCGTCGACGGGGAGGAGACTGTTGTGACGGAGAGGTCAGTCTGATCTCACAGCGTGAGGATGGGACTCAGTCAGTTGTAAGAATAGATCTGTGAGTGAATTATGAAAGGATGACCGCGGATAGGGAGCAGGGCGGGAACCCGCGGCAACAGACACACACTCTGAGTGTGTGTTGGCGCCTGTGTGTGTGTGGGATGGTCAGATAGAAACACACCCTCTTAGTGTCTCTGTGTGTGATAATAACAGCTGGTGTTATTATAGTTGCCCAGTTACATAATTGAGTCCATCATATTGGCCTACGGGGTGTGTGTTTGCATACAAAACAAAAAGATGCTTTATATTTCTGCGTGTGCTCAACGGAAATTTAAAGGGAATAGTTTGTAAAAAGTCTGATCTGCCAAATGTTCATTCTTGACCTTAGAAACAGTATTTAGACGAGAAAATATCTTAAAAATATCTTAATCTTAGTCACTGTAAACAATCAAAACTAATCTTTTCAAAATGGCTTTTAAAGTTGTGTGTATTTTAGTATATTCTATTTTATGATCGTTTCTAACTAATGTAAATTGTCTTTGAGTACAATGAAAAGCACGCTATAAATAACATTTTAATATTTAATTATTATTGTTATTGTTATTATTATTATTATTATTATTATTATTATTATTATTATTACGATTCTGAGGTGTCATTCATGCCGAGTTTCAGACAAATTAGGCAACCGGATGAGGCCCGGCTAATTTTATCCAGCATGCCAAGTTTGGGCCAATGCTGTGCCAGGTCATTTTCATAATGGCCCAGTATTGGCAGTTTCAGCAGCCACAATCGGACCAGTTGATTTGGCTTGATTCTGGGGCGTCATTCATGCTGAGTTTCAGCTGAGTCAGGCAACCGGACACAGCCCGGCAGTGGCTAATTTCATTGGGCATGCCGAGTTTGGGCCGATGCTGGGCCAGGTTATTTTTGATAATGGCCCAGTGACGGCAGTGTCAGCAGCCGCAATCGGGCCAGCTGAATTGGCCCAATCCTGGGGCATCATTCTTGCCGAGTCTTAGCTGAGTAGGGCAATCCGACGCAGCCCGGCTGATTTTATCCAGCATGCTAAGTTTGGGCCAGTGCTGGGCCAGGTAATTTTTTATGATGGCCCAGTGATGGCAGTGTCAGCAGCCACAATCGGGCCAGCTGATTTGGCCCAATTCTGGGGCGTCATTGGCACCAAGTCTCAGCTGAGTCAGGCAACCGGGGGCGGCCCGGCTAATTTCATCCGGCATGCCGACTTCAGGCCGATTATGGGCTTAATCATTTTGGCTACCTGATCATTATTATTAGTAGTTGTAGTAGTCGTTGTAGTAGTAGATAGTAGTAGACATAAAATGTATAATTATATTTACATCAGCATATAATCACCTGAAATTAAGATTTGTTGTGTTACCATATGCTTCGAGTGAGCCCTTCATATCAACATCATGGATGTATAATAGAACTGGATACAGCGCTGGGGACGGCCACTTTCATTTCTGTGAGAGTTGCTCAGTGGAGTATGAAGCATAGATTTATAATAATACCTACTGGGTGCCAAGATGGCTCCTATTCATTCCAGTGGAGTTGTTTGCCTGGCACATAAACCAAACCCACTGGCCCACTGAATATGCACAAGAGTGTTTGTTTGAAGAATGTTTTACACATATAAGACCTCCATGGATTAAAAATTCATAACAGAAGGAGTCATTATTGACCTTGTTTGCAGTTTGAGATGTCCTGTCAACAGTTTTACAGACATCTCTTTTATAATTGTTTGTCTATCAGGAAAATGCTTCTTAGGTCGCAAGGGATTTTTTCCACTGCAATACCGTGAGTGGCCACTGGGAAAAAATGGCTGCAAAGCTGAGTGGCATTCCTGGGGGCCTGGTGTGAGGCTAATAAAGTTCAGCTTCCCTGGTATAGAATTACCTGGCTCTACTGCATTGTTGGGCCCATAGTCCAAGCGCACTGGAGACTTTCACTAGCCAAGCAGCTGATTACTGTTTAACTGTCCGCTAACTGAAATGGGAACTAAATAATTTAATTGTGCTGCTCTGCTAGACTTATCGGGCCAAATGGATCAAATACCAATAGTGAAACAAACCATTTCGTGGGAATTATGATGCTCAAAAAATGTATCCACTGTTTCAGACATCTCCTTCGCAATGTAAGTATATATATGGAATAAAATGAGAGGACTCTGTTTTTCTGTCTTTTGCATGATCTCTTGTCCAGCACCGAGAGTTCATTGTCTAGATGCGCATGTTTCGTAAACTACTTGACTGCTGGTGCTTTCATAAAATATTTACACAATGAGATTTTTAGTAAATAGTCATCAGCAATGTGGATATAATGACTAAGTGGCGAAAGACAAATAGAAGAGCAGCTTGAACAATCTGGTGGGTTAAAGAAAATACATTCCTTTCCTGTAAAGACCACACTTACAGTACAATATTAGAATATCCAAAATTTAAGACGAAATATTCTGATACCATGATATAACATCAATATATTGCCTAACCCTAGTTCCAATATGAAACTGCTCACAACAAGGTCTGTGGATTATCTTGAGTCACCAGGTCATGATTTCTGAAAAGAGACATTGCTGCTGGGTTTTTTCAAATGTAATTTTTGGTGCTCCAAGTGAGTGGTATTAATCTTCTCAAATTTCATATTGCCCTTTATGATGTGTCAAATATTTGGTGCTTCCAGCTTCTTAAAACTTTGCTGCTTTTCTCTGCTTTATATGATAGTTAACTGAATATATTTTGTCTATAAAATCAAAAGAAGCAATTTCAAGATCTCACTTTTACACTGAGTAAAGAAGTGAAGGGATTCCATATTGTGGATAAAGTTACTGGAGCACAAAAGAAGTTCATGATCACAGTGTGCAGGTGCAGCTTTCTCAAGGTGGTTGTTTGATAAATGAGTGTGACTCATTCTTTAAGGTCATTTATTTTCAGGTTTGGATCATATTTAGAGCCAGGGCTCCTCTTCACTGAAACTACAAGTTATCTGATGCAAATAAAACAAGTTTATTAATGGCACATGTGTAATTTGTTAATGTGTATTCAGAGATTCACAGATTTATAACCTTTGTTTTTCTAAAGTGAAAGTTCTGATATGTACCAGGGATATGGTGCATTTAGCATGGAGACAGGAAAATTCATTCATTCATTCATTCATTCATTCTCCAGAACTGCTTATCCTGTTAGGGGTCGCAGAGGGCTGGAGTCTACCCCAGCTGACATTGGGCGAGAGGCGGGGTACACCCTGGACAAGTCACCAGACTATCACGACACCATTCATGCTCACATTCACACCTATGGGCTATTTAGAGTCACCAGTAACCCTAACATGCATGTCTTTGGACTGTGGGAGGAAGCCAGAGAAAACCCACACTGCCACAGGGGGAGAACCCCTATCCCGAGTTTTGAAACCCCCACCCCCAGCTTCCTCTTGCTGTGAGGCGACAATGCTAACCACTGTACCATTGTGTTACCTTGTGGTAAAATCTTTCCTCAGTCCCCATGCATGAGTTATGAACTTGAATTGTGGTGCTCATAAACACAGAATACTTTCAGTGTTATGGTCAATACTATGCCCTTGGTTTACCATTTTATTTTTTATGTTGAGTTATGATTATGTTATTTATTTTTCAGCAAAGAAGCCTTCACTGAGACCAGAGTACCTTTACATTATCGTTTTGGGACATTGTTTGGGCGTCAGTATTTCTGGCTGAATGACGATCCATCATTTTGTCTGATGGTTCACAAATGCTTTTATGAGGACAGTGAAAGAGATCCTTTTCAACCAGGTGATAGACAATCAAAAAAATACAATTTTGTTGGAAAGACAAGGTTAGAATAATTTGTAAGCTGCTTACAGAATATGTATCTAATTGTCTGAACTTAAGCCTTTAATCTTTCTGTTCTGTTCAGATCAGTGTTGACCAGCGTTCAAATCTATATTGTGATGTGTGTGGTTTCCCTCATCTGATCACCAAAAGGTGTTATGACACCCTTCAAACTAGATATCCAAATTTAAAAGATTAAAGCAAAGAATAAAATGTCTTCCACTCTCCTTCTTTCCTTCCCAACACAAACCAACTATTTCAAACTAACAGCATATCAAGATCTCACATCCAGTTAGTCACACGTTCACAGTTGCAACATTTCCTTCTCTCTCTCACAAATCTCACTTCTCCAATCAAGTAAAACCAAACACTAGAAGAAAAATATGACATATGTTAGTTATGGAAACAAACAATGCTGATCCAACCACAATGTGACCAAACACTCATCAGTGCTGGGAGTTTTTGTCTATAAACAAGGCTTCTTTCTCTTGGTCATATGTCATTCTGTGGCATGTGATCACCATGTGCGAGCAGCTAACTGTAAATAAGGCACTTGATTTCATTTTTGGATCATTTCCCTGATGAGCGAAAGAATATGCAGCCTGAAGACATAGTGGAAGAGGAAGTCTGTATAATGGGGGAAAATACTAAAAAAGATCAGCAGGAGTCAGCTAATGATAACATAAGACTAAGAGTCTACAGCCTCTGCGGTGCTGTACATGCTTGTGGTAAAGAAAACCCAACTGGTTTATAGACAAACAAAATTATTAGACGCCTTTAAACCACAAATATTCACCTAATTAATGGTGGCACTAAAGGAAATGTGGGTCATCAATGCACATATATTTCACTGTATAAGTGGAGACATTACAGGTTAAAAGGGTCAAAACTTTACCTAATAGATATCACTATGAAACTTCCCCAATTACTGATTACATTAAAGGTCTAGTGTAGGATTTAGTGGCATCTAGTGGTGACTTTTCAGATTGCAGCCAACTGAAACTTTTCCTGTGTACCAAGCATAGGAGAACTATTGTGGCCAATGATTTTG